ATAGAAGCTTATAAGATTCTCCCTGTTGCCATTTATATTCAAAGGTTCAGTTCCAATCACAGAGATTAGGAAACTGTTTCTGAATACCTACAAGGTGGTAAGTTTAGATCGAGACTCGATAGCCGTAGTACATAACGAAACGAAGTCACTGACCCCTTCATCTTACTGTTTTGGGGATGCTTAGGGATTTCACTTATTAAGTTGATAGAAATATGTTCAAACATCCAGATTGCTGGATTTCAATGAGCTGAAGCCGAATAGACGCGTTATGCAACAAAACACTGTGGCCTGCGATGTTTCCGATGCTCTATGACTGTGCTCCAGTATAAATGTAAGCTTGCGACTCAAATTTTCGATATGCGAGCAAAGATGGTAAACTAATGAGGAGGGAAATGTTGATCCTGATGAGCTAGTATGGAGTTTTAGCCTTGTATTCCAGACTCCCTATGCATTCGACCGTCTGTAGTCATAGTTTGCAACGTTTGCGCGTAAAGCTACATCGTGAACTTGAACGTAGATCAGAAATCTAAAGTCTTGAAAATTATGCTAAGGCGAAGGGACATTACAGTCATGTCTAACTTAAACGGTTTCTTGGTAATACAAAATCAAAACATCATCATCCCAGCTTATAATGAAGAAGCTTCCAATCAAACCTGCCCATATATTATCATATTTGATATGACTTTGGACGCTCGGGAGGGATATGGATTTTCGGGTGCTGTCTCCGCAACGACTTTTTCTTAACCAAGGCGAGATTCTTTAATCACCTGTGTACCTAGCTATAGGAAATAGCCGCGTACTTTCATTTTTATTTTGTGGCATACTCTCTCCAGCTTTTCTACTTCAGCGATTCAAAGAATTGGCTTCCCGAGCTTCCTCCTCCTCCTCCAGCACTGCCTCGAACTTTCGATATACCACTCACTCCAAGTCTACATACAATCTAACGCACAAGAACTACGTCGCCTGCAATTCGAACTTTCAAGCCGACTTACCTAGAGCACGGATACGGCATCTTTTGGGGGAAATGTCAAAATGGACCTCAAAACCTTCAAAAACCTCGCAGAATGAACATTTGGGTCTCGGTGCGACTTGAATGATACCATTGATCTGCGATTTAAACACCAGGCCTTCTGACTATTCTGTTTTTTTTCAACAATGCCTTCATCAGTGTCAGCTCCAACCGAAGCTTCCATCAAATATCGACCCCTTACTCAACCCTCCCCTTCTGTGTCCTGACTTTCGCATTGGTCCAATCTATTCCCACTAGCCACACACTGCCTCCGGATTCTTCAAGCAGAAAAACCAATGCAAGGTGCATTACAGAGGCTCAGAACATGGCATTGTCCTCTCTGGGACTGCCGGCGTCAAATCCATCCTGGATGATATAATACAGGGTGAAAGGGAGAAAGAAAAGGGGAAGAAGCTCTTTCTTCATTTGAAATGTATGACTAGGGTAGCAAGAACCTGATAATTACAACAAATAGGCTAGTTCAGTAGACTTCTCCAGAAGTAGGGTGGAAACACGATGCGATCAAACCATGCTAACAAGGCAAGAGTACAATATATTAAGAGATTAACTGTGAATACCTTTTAGTATATCTATTTTAACACCTTTAGATCTCAAGGAAGCAAGCATTTTATAAGATTTAGGAGCTAGAAGGGGGCTATCACTGGTGCGATCAATACAAAAGGAGATATCGAGCTAGAAGTCAACATGTCGGTTAGGGGGCAACGCTGTTTTGAGGAGCAAAGGCTCTAGTAGCTTGACGGGCAAGATTAGAAGCAGTGGTTATACTAGGTCTATCCTTAAATTCGAATCTATGCGGTCGTCCAAAGGCTTATCGGCATGTTACAGTGTTACAACCTCCTATCCATTGAACGACCTGCGCGTTCTTAATCGACGGAATGCCTCCAAGCCTCTTTGTACTTAAGAAGCTCCGAATTCCATGCATATCGATCATAGATAACTATAATACAGACTAATTGGTTTATTGGAGGTGGTTTGGTGCGGAGATGGCGAGTTTAGCGTCCTTACACAGATTGACGCTTCTCTCAGCAGCAATGCAATGATCGATATATCGAAGATGTTCTGCGAAAAACTGGGGAAGATGTATCAGAATTAGCTTTGTGAGTATTTAGTTCATTCATGCCTATACATAATTGTTATTATGGCTGACAACTTGATAGTGGTGAAGTGATTGAGTCTACCGAGTCCCGACAAAACCTACAACCTACCCCCCACACCCGTTCAACTTCTGATGCAAAACTCCTACAATAATTCGAGTATGAGAGTGCTAATCGCTTTTCTTGTTCCAGTACTTGGATCCAAGATTAGCACCGATATTCAATAACAGAAAGCGTCGAGGTCTTACAAATTTATGGGTGATGACGAATGAAGGGGGGTTGGCGAGAGAACTTAACCTTGGAAGTTTCTTTGCAGCTCATGTGTGGTTTAATTGGCAAGCTACATGGAAGAGGTTAGAACTCTAATAGAGTATGTGCCTACCACTCGCATTGAGTTTACTTCAGCAGCCAGGCAGTGTGTTTCCAGTCCCATAGTACCGGGAATATTGGCAGCAACGACACTTCAGCGTTTAGAGTTCAATTACATCGGGAGACCTACAAAAACTACACGGCTACTTAGTTTGAATTAGACTATCCATCATGAAGGAGGTGTTATCTCATTGAACTCTTGATTCTATCACAATATTGAAGTGACAAATGCGCGTCTTATCCGTCTTCAATGTAAATATGGAGCCGAGGCTGGGTATATTTTGATGACAACTACACTCAACCATGCCCAATCAAGCTTCTGTTCTTGCTCAACGGTGATATCTAGTAAATGGAGACATAATACAGTGTATGCAGATGGTTAGTCTATATTAGTATCTGCCATGTTCTGATAGTATCACCGGTACTCCGCCCAGTATTCACGGCTCTTCTAACACCTCTCAAGCTGAATCGAGCAGGAATCTTGGGAGTATTACAAGTGGTGAATTCATATTATCGTTCGCCATCTCCCGAGAATATCATTCGCACTCGGCTCACCATTGACGGCTCATCTAACCCCTCCCAAGCCGCTTTGGGTAGTAATCTTAGCAGTATCGTGTGAATCGTACGATCCGAAACGTCAACAGAAGCTGGGACGAACTAGTTAGTGACTTTAAATGAATACTATGAGCCGTGAATGATCAAGCACTGCCCCATATGTGCGAAATTCTACTACAGTCCTTGCACCTAGCTTGATATAAAGGCAATTTTACGGCTCGCATCTGACTACTTCCTCCTTCCATACCCTTCCATCTACAAATTTCTTCGTCGCCCTCCAATCAAAAACCTTCTTAGTCCTGCGTTATTCCAGCAAAATTTCCCGCTAACTTCCACATAACAAGGCTGCAGTACGCTACAGCGGCGGAATATTCCTCGGAGACGGGACGGTACCACTTATTCTCAACGGTTTTATCCGCCTAGTCACCCATACTGACAGGATTTTACGTCCAAAAGGTATAACAGGGTATTGGAATACCCCGCGCTTGAAGCTAAGCCGCTTTTGTTCTCCCATCTTCTTCAAAAGGGTCGAAGACTTTTCTCCAAAGTCCTCCTACTCTTATCCAACACAACCTCAACCTCTCTTCTCCCTTCTTTTATTCCAACACAAATTCATTCTCCTTCTAATTGTACTAAGCTCAAGACAAAAGACTCATAACAACTCTCTGATTAAACAATCTTCTATCTTGAAGTTGTGCTTAGAGGTTTTGACATCCTTTGAACTTGCGTGGACCTGCAGACAAAAAAATTTGTTTCTCGAACTGAGCACCCGACAGCTTGCATCGACCTTTTAAAGAACAAAGATTCCATCCAGGGATCGAGATCGTTCCTAGAACCCTTAGTCCTACATCCGACAAGAGAATTAGTTCCTTGTAAGTATTACATTTCTCCTTTCTCCTTGAGCCGCCTTGGTCAACGGTGATGGTCCCATCGCTGCTCATTCAACGTCAAGCTTACCGACTACCACTTCTTACCAATAGCAAGCTAACAATATATAAGGTGGTTCAGATCTAGAAGAAAGCAAGTTCGTTGCTCTGTCAGCGGAGTCATAATTCTTGTAAGTATTCATCTCCACCTCATTTACAGCACGCCCTTGGTCTATAGCAGTTCACTCTTCCTTTCTCTCTTCCTAGATCTCTTCGCTTGCCTTTCAACATCAATTGTCTAATAACAGAAGGCGCCGTCTAGTATTCAAGTATTACGCGACTCTTACTCTGCCAGCAACGTCATATCACTTGTAAGTTGCAGCCTCAACCTTCCATTATAGCACAGCTTTGAGCTATGGCACAACCAGCCTTCTCCCTCTCCATTCATTTGATCCAAGATCTATCTGTTCTGATCACCGATCTAACACTTCAAGCAGCTGTTTAGAACTGGGATCATATTCTCGTCACTCTGCCATCGGATCCAGGTTTAAAGTATGTAAGCAACTCTTCCATTTCCTCATACAATTTGAAGTTAGCACCAAGCTACAACATCGTTTTTCCCCTTGATTCTTTCTCATACTCTTTGACGTCACATTGTTGTTGAAATACAAAACTAACATACCGTTTGCTGTCAGATTCCCCGCCTCACCGAATTTCTACTATCGATTAGACAATACTCGAAATAACCATACTCTCATCAACTTGACAGCTATCGTCGCCTATCCTGTACTATTCGCTGGTATTTTACCGGTGATATACCTCTGCGGCTATCCTCTGCATACTACTATCTCAAGTTGGACCATATTCTCTATTGACGGCTGATACCTTTGCGATCTTCCATCTTGAGTGTACCGTCCGAATCGGGATATTCGTCAGACCCAAGTCAATCAACACCTACCACCACCTGCCACTATCCAGCGAGTATTGTCTCCATTCTCCTCCAGAGCTTTACACTTCGATCTATAACACCTCACACGTCTTATTTCAACCGTTATCAGACTTGACAGGCCATCAAACATAGCCGATATGCCGCCCAAAGGACGTAAAAACCTCGAGCCAGTGGCTCAGAAGACTCCGGTCAACCGTCGTCGTACTAGTCTTCCAACTCGGGAGGATAGTGTCGGTGAGGATAGCTTTGATGAGAGTAATTACTCTGAAGATGACGATGATGGAGAAAGCGTCTCGGGCTCCTCTCCTTCGTCGGAAGTGCACTCCAAATCAGACACAACCGCCACAAATGCCTTAAAACGCTCCATTGTGTCACATCGTCGATATATCCCTGACTTTGATAGTCTACCGAACACCGGGGTTTGGATCTCTCCTGCCCCTAGTAGACATACCGAGTTTAAGCAAGTCGTTGTACGCACCACCAAGTGCGACATTTGCAACCAAAAGGTCGAGGCCCAGGACAAAGAGGAAGACGGAAAGGTCATGCAACGATGCCGTTGTTGCAATATACAATTTTGTCAGGATTGTGTACTGAGAGTATCTGACGATAAGATACATTTTCCTGTTCTCGCAGAGTTGGAGTGGGAGGCTAAGACAAAGGTTAATGCTATAACTCGGGGAGCAAATGGTTTCAAAGATCATATGTTCCACAAGCCACGATCTGAGCCAAAGCCAATCAGACCCATGACGGCATCCGAGAGATTGTCTATCTCGAGGGCTATCGCTTCAGGCAAGTTCAGCAACATGGTTATCAACACCCCAACCCCCTCACGTCCATCGCGAGCCAAGACCACCAAGGCTTCTGCAAAGAAGTCCAAGAAGCGTCAACTTCCCCCCGGTTACGCTGAAGAGGAAGGTGATACTCATTATGAGTTGGATTGGGACTGGATCCAGAAGCTTCCAGTAGAGGAGCAGCGTAAGGAGAGAAAGGAGGCTGCTCAGCGCAATCTTCTGAGAAAGCCAACTCTCGAGACAATGGAGGATCCGGGTTCCGATGAGGCTGCGGTCGACCCACCTCAGAAAACTAGAACTCCACTTCCGAATGCACCAAAGCGCCGTAAGGTTGCAACTCGCCGTCGCAGCGGTAAATCCACCACCACAGCCGCCCCCACTAGTGATGTTGAAACTCCCCCCACCCAACCACCACGCAACACTCTTGATAGCTTAGCTCAGGCCGCTCAAGTTACAAGAGAAAATCGTCAGGATACGAGCGAGAAATCTGATGAAAATGAGCGTGGAGTGACACCCAGTCACGATGCTTTCGACGACGAAGATTGTGTCCAAGTTGAAGCTAATGACGCCGAGGAGGACGATTCTGAGCCTGAAGACAACTGAGATTGATTTTACGACACATTCTCCTACCTTTTAACTAAAGTTTTCGGTCCGCTCCTTCGAAAATGATTAGTTGGTTTCTCTTCGCGTTGGGAGATCCCAATCACTCAAGAAAGGCTTGCAACTATAAAGCTGCTACAACCCCACAATTCTCTTGAGATACCCTCTTCTACCAGCGTGTTTCCGATTTAATCCTCCTCTTCCCCCAATTTGTGCTGTCTTCTTCCAAGAAAGCTCACGTAGCGTGGCGGAATCGACGAATCATAACTTTCTCCTTTGTTCTTTTCGTTCTTCAAAATACCCCTCATGTTTCCTATTTTGCTTTGTTTTGGCCTGGATATGCGCACCAGCGTCGCCCTTAGGGGCACTGTACATCATCAAAGATAGTTGCAGCATAAACACAACTGGGAGGATCGTGGTTTTAATGAGGCCAGAGGGTAGGATAGGTGGTGCTTTAGTACTACTAGTGCTGCTCAATGAGCATAGTTTCTCCACAGATTCTCTTTAGATAACTTTCAGAAAATATAAAAGTCGTTTGACACAATTTAGATCTGTCTTTCATGTGACTGCTGTGATCAAACCTGTAGATGTAGCTGAATCTCGAGTGAATAAACTTTGTGTGCAATCGTATATTAGTTTTTCACCTTGCCGGCTTCGACGGAACTTCCTAGGCAGCATATACTTCTGGGCAGCTATCCCAAAGACTTCCAGATGATGAGATGCCAAGTTTTCCATATAAAGCCGACTTACTGCCACTATTTCAGTGTTCTGTGTTTGAGAGGATCCGAAATTTTTTAAGAGCGATACTTGCATTTCTATAGCTCCTTCATCGAGTATCCCCTTCCGATGACTCACTGTTCTCCCTAAGTTCTTCCCCTAGCCATTCATCGTCCAGCTGTGAAGAGTATCGAAACAGATGAAGCGAAAACATCAAGCATTGGAGAATTAGATGGATTTCCGGATCGTGATAAGCTCGTTCAGATGAGAGACAATCTCCTCGAGCAAAAATCCCCATCCTGAGTCATCAGAGAAATGAATGAAAGAAGCTAACGAAAAGAGTGGATTGCCCATTCTTCAACATGCATGAGGTTACGAAAAAGGGAGGTGTAGATTACACACAATGCAAGAAAATTCAGCTACTGTAACCAGCTTTCCAAGTGCACAGGTTTAATAATTGATGCTTCAATCCACAGGAGACAACGCGGCTTCTAGACGTGATCCCGTTCCCGTTCGGAAATCGGTGTCATGCATACAATCCGCGGCCTGTCTAGGCAGCATAATAAAAAGACGAAAGCCATGAATCTATCGCTCGAGTGAAATTCCATCAATATCTAAGTTTTCCCCATTCTCTCTTGCGTGTGCTCCTGTTACACAACCGTCAAAATAGACAAACAAGCTTTTCCCAACCAACTAGACAATCGCTCATTCCCTCAACATGTCGGCTCCCGATCTCGACCCCACCAACCCCCCCAACTCGGACCCCACATTTCGCAACTACACCAGCCAACAAGCTGCGAAGTACGCTGCGCACCGACTGTCCTACCCGTCAAAATTATACGAGACGGTGATAGATCACCATGGGAAAACGGGGGGACAATTCAATCTCGTGCTTGATCTGGGTTGTGGACCTGGAAATGCAACGCGAGATATCGCGGGATATTTTGAAGAAGCGATCGGATGTGATGCGGGGGAGGCGATGATAGGGGCTGCTCGAGAGTTGGGGGGGAAGACGAAGAGCGGGAAGGAGATTGTTTGGGTGGTTGGGAGTGGAGAGGAGTTTACGGGGTTGGAGGAGGTGAGAGAGGGGACGGTGGATTTGATCACTGTTGCTATGGCGGTATGTGTTGCTGGTCCTGTGATTTATATGATCGAGGATTTTGATTGATTTTGGGAAATTGTAGGTGCATTGGTTTGATATGGATAAGTTTTGGGCGCAGGTTGCAAAGGCGTTGAAGCCTGGAGGAACGGTGAGTTTCTCCTTTGTCGCTGTGCTATTCGGTGAAATCATATCTTGCTGTGGATATTCATACCAAAAATCGAGATGAGAAAGTTGCTAACACAAAATATAGGTCGCGTTATGGACACGTGGTAGTACTCTATGTTCCTTCCCCCTCTCACTCGCTCCAAAATCCACCCACTAACCTCTTCCAAGCATCATACTACCCGCATCCCTCTGTACCCAACCGCTCCGAACTCCTCCGAATTTTCCTAAATTTCGAGCGCAACATCCTCGCTCCCTATGAGCTACTCCCGAACCGTCTTTCGCGTGATATGTACGACAATCTTCCTCTCCCGTGGAATATCCCGCATCCCATTCCCTCTTCCATCTTACCCCAATCTCACTTTCTGAAACTCGACTATGACCGCGATGGAATACTGTCTAATCCGGAATCCGACGATTTCTTCTTCGGTGGAAGAGAAGTCACGCTTAAGCAGGCAGAGAAGTCTTTGGAGACGGCTAGTATGGTTACGAGGTGGAGGGAAGCACATCCGGAAGCAGTAGGAACGGAGAAGGTTAGTTGATTACGTTTTGATGAAATATATAATTCGATTCTCTATGATTGAGGCTATCATGCTAACCTCTCCCTCCGAAGGATGTTTTGAAAATGCATATGAGAGAATTGAGAAAAGCGATGGGCGAGAATGAAAGTATGAGGACGGGAAGTAGCACTACGATCATTCTTGTCAAAAAGGCTTTGGACGCTTGACTCTCAATAGGTGTCTAGTTGTTCCTATTAGGTGTGCTGGTAATGCGGCTTACTATCCTCTCATGTACGGTTGGGAATTATAAATCAAGTAGATAGAAATAGAGGATGGCATAAGTGGATGTGAAAATAGAGAAGAAAAACAGGATTCAATACTTACGGGAATCGATAGACTAATATGTATCTGAGGTCCCAAGTTATAAGATGGCAGTGATCAACGAAGAACTAGACGAAATGTAACTTTTGTGTGAATTACCTTGATGTTTGAACTTTGGAATATCTCACATCATCACATACGAAGAGGGCATTCAAAACAGTATGAAATCTCACATTGTCAATATGATCTAACGTGGATCTTGTCATGTTCAAAACTCTCAGTGAGGTGGTACATATTATACAAAGTGTTATGCGCTTTAGCTAACAACCCGTAGACCGGTAGACCGGTAGACCATTTAACCATAACTCCGATGCAATTACTCCCTAGCGCAACCCCTATTCCAAGCCCTAATACTGTGGTTGAACGCCATTTTTCAAGGTACCTCCGCCCTTTCCGACCAAAGTATCGAGAGCTGGTAGATATACATGTGACCCCAATTCGCAAATATTCCCGGATCCCAATACACCTGTATTATGATATGAACTATGTTCTCCAAAACAGTTCGAATGCATACTGCGAGTAAACAAGTAGACCATTTCCGGCCCCGCATTACCCCAAGTATCCACAGCCAGCAGAAAACTAACTCCAAGTAGAGTGTAAATTTGTCCGGGTCTTTCTCCTTCCCTTTAAACCCACTTCCCCAGCACCCATGAGAGTCTTCCACCTCCTTCCCAAATTCCCTCTATCCTTTCCTAAACTCCTCGCGCAATCTTGCCAATCACTTTTACTCAACTTGAGCTTTTCCAACACCAACTCCACTAACATTCTATCTTCCTCCCTTGACCAATTATCTCCATCTTCTTCTTCCTCGTTTCTTTGTGCTTCCCTCTCACGACTCTGTGATTTACCTCCAGCACTGAAGATGAATGCGCCTTCATCAGCAGCGGTATTCTCCATCTCGGCTAAGCGTAGCGTATGGAAATCGCTTCTCTCTAGCCCTAACGGTAAAACTTCTGGTGCGATTCTCCGCCTGCGTTTCGGTGTGCTAGGAGCTAGAAGTGTTGAGTCTTCGTGCTCTTGTCCCGGAATATCATCCATCCTCTCATGAATCATCTCATCATCCGTGTCCCTCCTCCTCTTGTTGATTCCTCTTGAAACTTCTCTCGGTGTTCGTTTCGAGATGCGTTTCCTATCGCCAATTTCTGGCATGACACTCTTTGCAGGAGATGGTATGCGCAATCTAAGTCTCGGATGGGAGGTCCTAGTGGGAGGTGATGAAGGAATTTCTGCATGAAGTGTAGGTGGCGAAGGTAATTGTGTCGGGGTTGTGAGCATAGATTGCAGAGCGCGACATGATTGGAATAGATTGCTGATAGTAGGTGTGGGAGATAGTGAAGAAGTAGGAGAAAGAGGTGGTGATGCGAATAGCAGATTGTGATTTCGAGATGGTTGAGAAAGTGCCTGGGATGAATCGCCACAGGCGAATGCGGACGGTAATAACATCTTTTACTATATTGCGAATTCACAATATAAGTTTGAACTTTCTTGAGATGTTGATGTTATTTTGAAGATTGAATGTTGTAGGCAACAATGAGTGTTATTTGTTTATTTTCCAGACAAAAAAAGCAAAGTGATGGTTTGCGACCGACGCCTAACAATCATGCGCCGGAAAGCGTCGAAGCCTTGTAATCTTTTCTTTCTTTCTTGAAAGATATATCAAAAGATTCGCACAGTCTTCTTCTATCGTTGAAAGCTTCAATGTTGATATGCGATAAAGAAGGTGTTGTGATATGTCCAATTAGGTTGTTATCTTCTGACCGTTTGGAAATATCGTTTCCGTTGCTATTTGACGAGAAAGGATGAACAAGAGGGCCAAAGTGAACAAACGGGGCGGATAGCTGGGTTATGTTAATAATGTTAATAGTAATGATCACGTGATCACGAACTGCACAATTCTGACAGGGATGTGTGAACTTGTGAACGTGTGATCAGTGCTGCGTGCTGCATTAGACATTTACGGATGATGGATTACGGAGAGTATGGAGACGCTAAACAAACTAATAAATGAGACAGGGATCAGAATAAAATGGACGAAACTCAATCCCTTCCAGTTCCAGTTCCAGCTTCTGGATGATGATAATAATAAGTTGGAAGTTTGTCTTTCTGCTTTGGCGAAGATTGGATGGATGGAGAGAAGCATGGAAACAATCAAGGTAAGAATTAAGTGAAGTGAGGTGGAAGAACAAAAGAAGAAAGGGAAGAAAACAAGACTACTATAGCATGGATGACGAGAACTAGCACAAATACTGTTACTACTACTAGTACTTCTACAGATATCAATATCTTTCCCATCTCGAAATATCCCTCAATCTAGTCTTCCGGTCAGAGGGATGACTAGATCCTATCTTTTCCCCTCTGTTAACTGATCTCTCAACTCCTCCTCGCTTTCATGGTACTCACCATTACAATAAGATCCTACCCTCTCTTCCTCCATACCACACCCCTTGCCATTCATCCCGAGTCAACGTAAGACTCAAGACCCAAGACTCCAACTACTCCTGCAAGTTGTACCACTGTACTGTATAAACATCTCACTGTTCCACAACATTTCCAAATATCTCATTACTACTTCTACTGGATGCCCATGCAACTGAAAAGCTTGGAGTGCAAACTTCCTACAACTCATACAAACTCAGCTAACACAGGAATTGAACCGACTAACTCCTTTCTAGTTTCCATTTAATTCATATCCCATCAAGCCATCCACCAAACTTCGGGAAGAAGCTTCCCCCCCTCTTCCTCCCCCTTTGCCCCAAGAGTCGCTTGAGGTAACGTCCAGTGTCTTGCTAAGAAGTGAAGTATTACAGTACTAACGCACTGCTACTAGCCGCTCGTCAAAATCGCACCTAAAACAGCCGTTTTACTACTTTTATTTTATAGTTTTAATACTTTTCAAACTAAATTTATTTTATAAAAAACTATATATTTTAATTTAAAATCAATTAAAATATATAAAAAATTATATGTTTTATTTTTAATAATTTTATATATTATATAATATATAATTGAAATTAGAAAAAGAAAAAGTTATCAAAAGGACTTAAATTTACTAATAAAATAAGCGAAAATCATAAACTTTTATAAATTCATTTTTCAACAATATAAATAACAACTTAAATCATTTCAAAAAGCTTTGAAAAGTTAATTTTATTAAATATCAATATCGAAACAATATATATAGCGAAATTCAAATAAAATAATTTATTCAAAGTAATTGATTTTATATAAATCAAAAGTAGTAAAACAGCTATTTTAGATGCGATTTTGATGAGCGGCTAGTAGCAGTGCTCGGTGACTGTAGTTAGTTAGACAGTTAGGTCATGATTACCCAGACACGCCCTTCGCCCTTTACAATTCACTTCATCGTATCCCAATTTGTATATTTGAAATCCAAATGGCTTTTGAGATGCCTCCTTTGCTAGTCTCCCTTTAGTCAACATATACTTTGTACGAACACGTTGTATGCTAAGAGAAATAGTTTGTACCCTTCCTGCAGCATCAGCCTTTCATCTGCTTTCAATTTAGGGGTTTCCGTCTACTCAATGCTACCTGCCAGTGAGTGGACAGTATGCCTACAGTATGCCTATCAAATGTTTCTTGCTACAGTTCATCACTCTTAAACGATTTCTCTTTTGATAAAAACATTGATCAGATATCATTACGGTTGTGAGGGGTTAATTGAAGCAAAAACCCTCCTTACAAAGTTCCTTCCTATCTATTATCTATGTAGCTCCTGCACACAACCTCAAGCATCCTCGCATGTAAAACGGTTTTCAACATAATCAATCCCACAGACATTTTTGAATCCCTGAAAAATCGTGAATTGGAAGTATCGTTTTCTCATCCCCTGTCGTCCTAAAGTCTTATAATTTCCCAAATAGAGGGGCACACAAGGAAGACAAGACGCGTGTAGACGCGATTTCGCGTTACCTTTTACGCGTATGAGTCAGCTTGGTCCGATCTCTCCGATACATGTCTTGATGTCTTAATTATCCATTCAACGATACAATCAGATGTCTTGTAAGATCTTACTTTATTCCTCACCTCGCGCTCGAATTGAATCTGCTGACTTCTTCCTCACATCCCCATGATTTTACTAGAATCTAATCTTCAAATTTCACGCCTATCCCATCCCATCCCATCTCATCCCATCCCATCCTCTCTGATCCCATTTCTAATCCACCTCAGAAACATCATCATCCCTTGTCACATGTATCCATCCTTCTCTCCATTTCCAGATCCTGCCGCCCGCTATCAATTTCGCAGTAGCGTCTCGCTCTGCATATCCACCTATCCTGCCGCAGCCTGCGTGACCCCATTCTTAGCCTCCATCCTTACCTTCCCATGAATGATTTCTTTTTCATCAAATCAGAGAGCTGAAGGAGACAATGTCTAGCATCACGTACATGTTGCATTTGCGGTCCGTTGCCGCAAGAGATGAGAACCTAGGTACAATGATTTATACCTAGGCTCCAGGGAATCAGATCATGGGACGGGTATAGAAATATGTATGCATATCATGAAGATCAGTTACTTGCTCATGTATTTCCATTGGTTAGACAAGAAGTTCAACAGAAGTACCGGCATATGGTAAATCTTGCACGGTATTTGAGAATGAAATCCTGAACGGATTCCCTTGTTTTTGTATCGAAATCTGTTTTGCTGTGTTCCAAGAAGCTTCTTGCGCTTCTGATGAGAACGATTGAAAAGTTGGTGTTACGTAGCAATCACCAAGCGTGAGTTTAGAACGGCTCGACTCTTGTCACATGATTATGCTAGCCATATCTGTCATATATCACTAAAACTACATTTGGCGTGAGATAATAACACACCCGACAAATGGTGAAAGCATCAGATAAGGGGAAACTAGTAATAATAAGCATACCTATCTAAGATCTGAGTACAAAGGTATCTCAGCTGCTAAATGAAATTGGGAGTCCTATGTTACCTAAGTGTGAGCGACTCCTCGCTGTCCCATTTAACCTTCTGATTTCCAAGATGTAGGTATCTAGTCATGTTCCTTGAAGTACCTAGATAGATACTCTCCTAGAACAGCAGGATGCAGTATTCCGAGCCAATTTTTCTGTTTCCTTGCAGCCATTACTACGCACTTTGACCACCAACTCCCTCAAACGTCAACCCTTGTGTCAAAGTTCAAATTGTCCCTTTTCCATCTCTCTCTTCCATTGAACATACCAAGAGACAACCAGTCTCCAACAAAATCACCAATCATTCCCACGTGATATGTCCACCCCTCGGAAGTGCTTCGGCAATCCCAGCTCGTCGGACCCATACCCCTCGATAACACAGCGAGCGTCTAAGTACGAAAATCGATATTGACACCAATACCCCAAATCATCCCTTCTTGTGTCTGTCTGTGAAGCGATGCTTTCCACGGGTACCATTCCCCAAAGTCTCAACTCCATACACAACACCTTCGCAAACATAGTACTAAACCGGTCCCTCGGTATACCCATATCTCTCTTTGCCGGCTTGGCAACTACTTCGTTGATTTTCTTGACACTTCGCGATACTTCTACTTGTACACCTACACACGTCACCAGGATTTCTTCATCCGAATCACAATTAGACGCAAAGACGACTTCCCGTATAATTCCCAGTCCGCTCAAGACCCAAATTCCCACATTGTCTCACGAAGAAATATCCACGCTACCTTACCCGCCGGATATATATCCCGGCGCCCGTGACGTTCCCAGTCCCGTTCGTGAACTCCCAATCTGAGATCTTTCCCTCTTCTATAGCATCACACAGTCTAACGAATAGAACAGTATGGCAGCACACGAGCGTATGAATTTGGTCCGGTGACCGGCCCCAAGGTGCTCCTCGTCCATGGGATTTCCACTCCGTGTATTGCGCTCCACTCCCTCGCTACTACTCTCGCTACCACGCACGGATGCAGAGTCCTTCTTTTCGATCTTTTCGGAAGAGGGTACTCGGATGGTGTGAGCGATTTGCCGCATGATGAGAGACTTTATACGGCGCAGATTTTGCTTGTGCTTACTTCCTCCTCGCTATCTTGGGTCGGGGATGGGTTTCACATTCTTGGGTTTTCCATGGGTGGAGGCATTGTGGTGGATTTCGCAGTCGCGTTTCCAAAAATGGTGAAAGATATGATTTTGTTGGCGCCAGCGGGTTTGATCAGGGAGGAACATTTTGGTTGGAAAGGGAAGATGATGAGGAAGTGGTGGTTTCCTGATGGACTATGGGGGTGGATTCTTAGGAGGAGAGTTAGCGGGTCCTATGATACCGTGCCAAGTCCTTCATCTTCTCCTCCTACCCCTCTCCAAATCTCTAATCCGCAAGCCGATGATAAACAATATGAGAGCCAAGCACAAGTAGATTTAGAACTCACAACTGCTGTTCCCGCTTCCTCTGCTGCAACGAACGCAGATACTAGATTATCATTTGATGATACACCTATATCATCCCTGCTACCGCACATAACCGTAGGACAAGTGATGCGATGGCAAACACAACAACATCGGGGATATGCAAACGCATTCGCGAGTTCAATCATGTATGCGTCGATTTCCGGACGCAAGGAAACATACAAGGAACTCTGGGGTTCCCGGGTTAGCAGCGTTGGCGCGGAGAAGAGCGAACATAACAAGCGAGAGAAGATTTTGATCATGGTAGGAGAACATGACGATGTGATTGTGGCAGAAGAATTAAAAGAAGAATTAAAAACAGCGGTGATGGAAAGATTCGGGGCTAGAGACGATGGGAGTGATATTTTTGACGAGAAAATTGTTTGGAAAAGTATCGAGAGCGCGGGTCATGAATTCCCCATCACGAGGGGAGAGGAGGTCGCGAGCTTCATTGGGGAATTCATAGGTATATGAAGATGTACGGGAAACAAGAGAGTTTTGCGCACATGACGGTGTTCATTCATCACACGTCTTTTATATTATATATCACGAACATGTTATACGACCAGGAGCGTCCAAGTACGAGTTTAGAATAATCTGCTAGAAAATATCAAACGACACAGATTTCCAAATCTCAAAGCTATAAAATCTGTCAATTTCTCCCCCCCCCCCCCCCCCCCAAAAAAGATACAAAAACATCAGTTCTTCAAATTCAACTACCCAGCATCTGGAAGTAACCATCCTTACAATCCCTTTCTTAGCGATTCATCGCTCACAAAATCCGCAATCCACCAACACTTTTTCAACCCACTTACTCTTTTTGTCCTGATTTCCAAGATATCTATCTATCTTCGTATATCCCATCACATTCCAGCAACAATTCCATTCTCACAAAACCCCATCGATTTCACACCACGTAACATTCAACTTAGGACTATGATAAATCTCGAGATATTCTGAAAGTAGATGAACATCATTTTCATTTCGGAACTACCTACCTATTCAAAATTATCCAACATCAATGGTTTCCACGGATTGAAAAGTTTTATGTATTTCTGAAGTTTAGTCATTGATTCTATAGGTGATGATTTATAGACCGAGATTGGACTTTGAAGAGAATTCTCACTCTGATAGTCTAACTAAGAGTGGGAGAGGGATAGATTCTCAATATGACGACGGCATCGATTCTATTCACTACTGGCTTCGCTTGTAATTGTGGATTCTACATCATATACATTTGAGGTTGGGACAATTCTCACGCCAATCACAGAGGTGTTCTAGCTATATATCGCGTAACTCACAGACAGGGAATCAAGGAGACTTTTGCGGTGAAGGTATTCGTCTGTATGAATTTCATTTGTGCGGAGGTGAAGAACCTCTCTCATTCATGGTGATAGTCATAAACTTACGCCTAAAAGATATCTTTGAAAAAAACTGACAGTAGAGTAAATAACAAGACTTTAATGCATGATTAATAATTGCAATCCACAAGGAACTTCCAGCTTTTGGTATTTCAAAAGCCCGCACACTCTCTTCATAAAAGCTAGCCCCAGACCCACACTTACACCCCAACTAGAATCCTTGCTGTCTATGCCACTTCTCCTCCCACCCCGGAAAATAAGGACTCTCAGCCAACGTCTCCTCTTTCCAGACTTCCTCTCCCTCCTGCGGCACCACCAATCCCTTCTCCACCTGTTCCTTTGCCCACATCTCCATCGCAGGTATGACCACATGCTCTACATGCCAAGTCCCCTTATACTCCATCAAACTCTTCTTTCCCTCTTTCAGAATCTTGCACAGCAATGCTGGAACATATGGTTCATCCCTGAATTCCGTCACTGGCGTGAAGAGCGCCTTGAAGTTAAACACCACGCCTCCACTCAATGGCAATCGTCTTAAAGTCTGCCAGTCCACTCTCAAATGACATTCTTCGATGGTCAAATCTTCCTTCTGGATTTCTCTCAATTTCTCATGCGGGTGACCGGCTGGCATAAACAAAGGAGAGTCAATTTCTAGACCCCAGCTACCACGTTGAATCGGAGCATCGGCGGACATTTTGGTAAAGAAGCGATCCATACTAAACGACATTTTCTCTTTGTAATCTGGGATGGGCTTATGAATGGCATCGAGCTTCAATCCAATCTTAGTGGCAACGTTCCATCCCAGTGAACTGCAGATGACGCCGGCGCGGAAATAGTACATTCCGTCTTCATCATTTCTCATCACAATTGCGAAATCTTCAGGGACATTGTTAAGCAGGACGTGGAGAGGATGCATGGATTTAATTTCAGTTGTAGTTTTGAGGAGAGCATTGTGGAATGTTCTTTTATCGTCCGAAAGGGAGAAATATGCCGGGTAGCGTGCGCAATAGAATTGCAGACACATTTCCATAAGTTCTTTAGTGGCAAGTTCGCTTCCTGGGAGGTAATCAAGAACCATTTTGCCGTATTGTTTGAATAGTCCTTGACGTTCGGCGATGCGGGAACAATATGTATTTTCGATCTCGAGCCACCAGTCAGGTTCCATTTTTTGAAAAGCTAGATTACTGTTAGTATATTTTGAGTGAGATCCGGGGTTATAATTACACATGGTCTGATGGTATTGCCACCGTATAGGTCTGTATGGTCTAGGAAGCGCCTTTTCAGGGATGAATCCTTCGTAGGGTTGCGGCAATGGGACTCCGGCTAAGATATCATAAGGTGGGAAATCGCCCATAGCATTAATCTCTTGCGTAGAAAATCCCATGGGTGTATATTTTGGAGTTTCAAAGCCGAGAGTATAAGATTGAGTCATAGGTAGTTTGTTCTCTGCCATGTGTTCAACTGATGGGTTATTCGAGGTCAAGATGGTGCCGAATCGTGGAGGAACATAATTTGCAACATCTGGAAGCGTGGAACGTCTGGAGGGGGGCAAAGCATCGTAGTAATTTGGAGTTTTGCTGGTGGAGTTCAACGGTCTGTCGGTAACTTTTTTGCTTGGAGACAATGAACGAGGTGGTGTTGCCGAAGTGGACGCACGTCGATGTTTGATATGAAGTTTGTTGAATAATAACTTGTGCCAATTTTGGGTATACATAAGTGTAATCACTGTGAGGAACAAACCAGCCACACCAAGGCCAAGAGGCCATTGGCTGTATATTAAAGAGGTATCAATCGCGATCATCGTGTCACTTGCGCACCATCGATAAGTGCTAAGCTTTTCGTACCTTTGTGTGATATTCTGTGAGGGGAACAACGTCGATGAATCTCGTTAGGTGTTTGGGATGTGTGATAGATAGAAGTGTAGACACTTGGTATTTGAGCAGGATGGAGATGGTATGAGAGAATACTTGATAGAAATGTTGTCAACACATCCAGTGTGCAGCTGTAAATGGATAATAAATGCGATAAAATCAGGCTATATCAATCATATCGCAAGAAAGCTTTCGATGAATGGAAAACGAGATAGTGGCTCTGGGAAGAAGTATACGTTGAAATCTAATCTCAAAGCTACACCGAGCGCTGAGGATGAGAATCTGCGTCAAATATAAAGACAAGCATTTTCTTGAAATACCTTTGATACCCCCAAAACATATAAGCTTCGACCATGGCCAGAGCCATCTCAATTAGGGAAAGGAAATCGTGGTAGATGAAGGAAGCATCAAGATCAGATTGTAATCCTCGATCCCAGTGGACGAGATAAAAAGAAGAAGTGGTGTGCAGCTTTCTCCACTCACTTCTGTTCCCCTCAATACCATACACGAACTACGTACAGACGTACCATACCAGGAAACGTCATATCGTGGTATCTGATACCCAAGCACCCGACTATGATATGGCTCAAGGAAATGTCCTAGTGACCCCCTCAAACGATAAGACTCCTTATCTACTGGCTCTACATTTAGCCATACAACAGCCACGAGTAACCGACATTAATCGTTCATAACCACTTAGAAACTCTGTATTGCAGCAGTTAGACAGGATAAAATAGCCTAGCTTGGCTAAGCGTACATTGGCAACTCCGACATCCCGTGCGAATTGGCCCCACCATGGATTCCCGATTACTATATTCAGCGAATTGTTCCCTTTAACTTGATTTTGGAAGGTGCTTTGCTTGTACGAAGTACAGTGCTCGGGATACAAAAGGAAGAAGTCTCGTATCGTATCAAAATCGTACCTATCAATCGTATCAGATCAGGTGATGTGTTGACATGACAGCATAGACTTCAGATACAATGAGAATGCGAATGAGACATGCTTTCTACTCTTCTATCAAAATCATGATGCTCGAACTAGTATGCATCGGTGTTGGAGGTTTGTAATTTGGAGGTTGACTAATAGCTATTGTTTTGTGAGCATTGGATAGAAAACTTTGAAAGGAGTGTTGCCTCCTCGGATTGGTAGAGCATTTAAAGATATCTTATTGGTGGTGATTTCTTGAACTTGACGTGTACAATACTTTGCTGCGTACAGTATAACATATTAAAAAACATAGTAAGGGTATACAATATAAGAAAACGACGAGACCATCTCTGCAACCATCAGTGTTTTGTAGTCCAACACCTGATAAATCCCCTGATATTCAAATCTTTCCAAAGCCTCTTCGCTCGCTCGCTACAATAACAAGAAAACAAAACATGAAAACAACATTAGAATACATACGCTCATACTACCCAGTTCCCATAACCAGATTAACACAGTAGGTCGTATATTCATATCTCATTTCGTAATAAAATCATTCCGTTTCATTCCATTAAAACCCAAATTTCTTCCGAAAACGAGAGAGGCCACCAGAAGCACTCGGCGCGCGGGACGTCTCGAAACCGGAGTCTCTCCGACTTTCTCGTGGAGGATCTTCTTGACTGCCTTCTGGGCTTCTTGTAGACTTCTCTATCTCCTCCTTTTCGCGTCTTGTCTTTCTCATTCGTCTTCTCTCAGCCTCTCCGCCAACTGTCTCATCAACAGGGGATGCTTCACCGGTGGGGACGTTGGGTGGAGGGGGTGCATCTGCATTCTCTTTCACCCAAGAACCTGTACCACTATGAGGCCAAGCTGAAGTCCTGGGCTTTGAACGACTGTTGACTGGGCCATCTGCAGGAAGAAATTCCGGCTCTGGAGCAGGTGCAGACTTGCGTCTCGATTTTCGAGGATCCGATGATTTTTCCCGCTCTGCCCGCTCTGCCCGCCTTCTTCGACGTGCTTCACTATCGTCGGGATCTTTGTGACTGCGTCGACGTTTGGACCGATATGGATCTTCACCTCGTGGCTCGCCATCTGCTTGGGCAGCCTTTCTCTCTTTTCTGTCTCTTCGTTCGGCCTCTCGCTCCTCTTCGACTCGACGTTTGTCAGCTTCAGCAAGTCGTCTGTCTCGTTTAGCAGCGTGTCGTGCCTCACGTTCACGTTCATCTTCCTCTCCGCTTCTTTGGCGCTCTTTTCTTGACTCTTCCTTTGCCGTTTGTACATCCTTCGTACCTCTTTGATTTGCATCGCGCTCAGCCCTCCTCGCGCGGCGATCTGCTTTTTGTGCCGCCTGGTCTTCCTCGGAAATGGCACCTGTCATGGTGACATCAATCTCAGGACCTCTAGAAAATCGTCTAGTCTTTCGTTCATCCCTTCTGTATGCACGGTTCTCATCTTCAGCTGGGGCCGTACTACGACGTTTAAGGTCTGGTCTATCCTTTTCTTTATCTTTTTTTCCAAAGACGCCACCAAACATGCCACCCAATCCAGATTTGCGAGCACTCGAATCAGTTCGTTTAATTCCAGGTGTACCTGGGATTTCAGATGGACCTCCTTGCTCCTCCATATCGACGTCGTCTTGTCTTCTTTGTTGATACGCTCTAGCACTAGCAGTCCAGTCTGTGGTAGGCCTGGTCTTCCTTCGAATTGGTATATCCATGGGTGGCGGAGGCATAGGTACAGGTGGTAGCGCTTGCCCATCAAACATTGAGTCATCAGTTACCTTTGATTTTCCTTTTCTATCGCGACTAGATCTCTGACGAATGGGATCTGCCACGTCATCATCTACCACGTCATCATCTTCATAATTGAGGTTAGCATAAGTAATAATTATGATACCCTGATGGTTCTACGTACCACGTGATGGCCTGGTCTTTTCGGACTTGCTTCTTGAAAGCTTGCCAGGGACACCGATACCAAACATTTTTGCAGCCTTTGCGGACATTGGAGGAGGCTCACGAGAATCATCGGGAATTGGAGTTGCGTAGTTGGAGCTATCCATGTTGACAGATTGTCGGCGTGAGCTTGTCCTACTCACACTTGGTCGCTTTTCAGACTTTGAATTAGACCTCGATAGTGGAGTAGCGGGCCCAAACATATTTGAAATTCCCCTAGAAACTGGTGGTCTGTTATCTCCCTTGGAGGATTTATCTGCTTTGTCCGAAGATGAGTCTTTGGATGAAGAAGTCTTCTCTTCTCTAGTAGATGATCTTCTAGATTTAGAGTGCCGAGGGTCGGATTCCCTGGTAGACCTTCTCTCCTCTCTAGTGATTTGAGGCTCATCGGATCTACGCTCACGGTCCCTAGATGACTTTTTCTCCCTTTCTTCCTTGCGAGGCTCTGCCCCCCACGCTCCCCAAGAAGATCCGTCGCGAACAACTCGAGGACGTTCTTTCTTAGATTTATGATCCGAGTCTTGTTCCGGTTCCAGTTCTACTTCAGGAGGTGGTGTCGGTGGTTCAATGGGTACAGGAGGTGCTCTAGAAGATTCCTTGCTCTTACTAGATTTGTGCCTATTTTTCTTTTGAATTGGCATCTCGACAATATCAATGATTTCGTCGCCGTTTGCAGAATCCGGAAATGCACCAGGAAGAATTTCCGGATCTTCCAACCTTTCCTTGTCTCTTCTGGAAGATTTTAGTTTTCTCCTTTCTTCCTTGGTCGGCGCGGGCGGCGCAGCAGGTGGGGGTGGAGAAGGTGCTGGGAAATATTCATCTATTTCTTCTTCAGATTCATGAGGCTCCTCGGGGGGTTTATTCGCTTCAAATGCCCTTAACCTATCAGCGATGGTACCTCCAACTGGTTTCTTTAACAAGCTTGATTTTATTGATGGCGGTGGCCATTTGGTTGTTGTGTCCTTGTTCTTAGAAGAGGTTTCTGGGCGCATCGCTTTGTCAGCAATCGCAATCTCGTCTGATCCCGTGCCCCAAGCCATGAGATTCTTAGTGGATGCCTCGGCAAGATTAGTTTTACCAAATTCCCTATCATCCTTGCTCGGTGATGGCTTCTCTATCACTGGTGGTTTTTTAGGAGCTCCCCAAAAACTAAAAGCTTGAGATGCTGGCTTTGCGGTTGTTGTGCGATTACCTAATGCTAGAATTTCATCTACTTCTTCCTGGGTTGGTTCTAGGTCTTCATCTGGTTCTGGTGTTGGAGCTTTCGTTGGGACTGGCGGTGATGGCGGTGGTGGTGGTGTTGGAGGAAGAGCTTCTGGTTCTTTGCTGTGTTTAGACTTCTTACCCTTACTTGATTTTGATTCTTTTCTAAGCCGTCTAGAAGCTTCGGCCTCTTCTCTAAGAGCTTTCTTCTCCGCCTCTCTATTGACACGCTCCATTTCTTTTCTAGCGGCTTCCTCTTCCTCTCTGATAATTCGTTCTTCCTCTTCTTTTGCCCTTTCTTCTTCTCCTCTTACTCTTTCTTCCTCCTCTCTTATTCTTTCTTCCTCCTCTCTTATTCTTTCTTCCTCCTCTCTTGCCTCCTCGGCTTCTCGAGCAGCATCTTCCTCGGCCTCTTTTGCGGCTTGTTCTTTTTCAGCTTCCAGCTTTGCTAATCGATCGGCCTCTCTCTGTTGTTTCTTTGTCAATTTAACTTTCGGTTTGGCTGCTTCAGCCTCTTCTGCTAATCTTATAGCTTCAATCCTAGCTTGCTCTTCAGCTTCGATTCGTTCTTGCTCCTCGGCTTCAAGTCTCTCTTGCTCTTCAGCTTCGATTCGTTCTTGCTCCTCGGCTTCAAGTCTCTCTTGCTCTTCAGCTTCTAACCTATCTGCCTCTTCTTGCTCTTCTTTCAATTTTCTTTCAGCCTCTTCCTTTTCAGCCTTTCTTCTAGCTTTCTCGGCCGCCTTGTCAGCTTCTTTCTGTTCCTTCTTGCTGAGTTTGACAGCAGGGAATTCTTTGTCCTTGGATTTTGATTTCTTTGATGAAGATCCAAAGCCCCACAAGTTATCTGTTTCAGGTTCTGCTGGGGGTGTTGGGGCTGGAGGAGGAGCTTCAATCTCAAGGATGTTCTTTTTCTTGCTCTTTTTCTCAGTCTTTTTGTCTGGTTTGCTACCTGAAGCAAGACCCCATATTGAACTCCAATCGTTTTTGGGAGGCTCTGGTTCGGATTCGGATTCTGATTCGGATTCTGATTTTTCGGCCTTCGCTTTCTCTTCCGCTTCAACCCTTTCTCGCTCTTCGGCCTCGAGTCTTTCTTGCTCAAGTCTCTCTTGCTCCTCGGCTTCGAGTCTTTCTTGTTCCTCGGCTTTCAATCTAGCTGCCTCCTCTTTCTCTTCAATCAATTTTCGTTCAGCTTCTTCTTTTTCAGCTTTCCTTCTAGCTTTGTCCGCATCCTTCTGTTCTTTTTTGGTGAGTTTGACTGCTGGTTTCGATGAAACCGGACTGAAAAAGTCATCGAATTTAGAATCCTTGAATGATTCAGCTTTGGGAGGTTCTTCAATAAGGTTCTTTTTCTTCTTCTTGTCTTTCGAAGAAGAGCCCCATCCCATGAAATCATCAACAGCTGGTGGGGCGTCTGGTACCGGTGGAGGTGACATGGGCTCTTCAAACTCATCAACAGGGAGTAGAGATTCTTCTTTGCTCTTTGTGTTTTGTCCCCAATTCATCCAATCATCATCATTATTTGCAGGTTCTATGGCTTCATATATTGGCTTACTCTCAGGCTCGGGCGAAGGTTCCTTGTTTTTGCTCCCCTTCTTTTTGTCCCTCTTGGAAGTAGAAGCAAATCCCCAGCTGAAATCGTCCATAACAGCTGGAGGTGGGTCGGGAGCCGGTGCAGGTATAGGCTCGTCGTAGTCATCGATGATTCTGGGTTCCTCAGCGCTCTTTTTGCTCTTCTTCCTATCTTTGTCCTTGCTAGAGATCCTGTCCTTCTCTTTGCCCGATGTTTTATCTTTCTTTTTGCTCGAGGTAAGAGCACCCCAAATACCTACAGATTCAACAGATTTCGGGGCCGGTTCGGGATCTGGATCATGGAATTCTTCTTCAAGTGGCTCTTCATCTTTCTGTTTGTTATCAAATCCCCAATCAAAGCCACCATTCGCTGGAGCAGTTGGCAAATTTTCCTCCTTGGATTTCTTTTTCTTGTCCTTTGTAGAACTACTAAGTCCCCATGAGTCCCATGCTTGAGTTTCCTCTGCAGGCTCATCTTGTTCTAACTCTGGTTCGGGTTCAGGTGGCGGCGGTGTCGGTGCCCTCACAATTTCAGGTTCCACAACAGCGTTCTTACCTTTCTTCTTTTTTTCTTTTTTGGACAACTTGGCTCCCCAGACCGGTTCGGGTTGTGGTGGTTCGATTACCGGTTCCGGTGCAGGTTCGGGTTCGGGTGTGGGTTCTCTTTCGGGCTCTGGCGCAGGAAGTGGCTCTTCTGTAATTTTCTTCTTCTTTTTCTTTTCCTTTTTAGTAAGTCCCCATCCCCAGCCACCCTCCTCTTCTTTTTCTTCTTCTTCTTCTTTATTGTCCTCAATTGCAGGTTCGGGCTCCGGTGGTTCAATGACTGGCGGTGGTTCTTCTACTTTTGGCAGTTCGTCAATAATTGCATTCTTCCCCTTTTTTTTCTTACCCGATTTGGTATTTCCCCAAGCAGAAATTGGTTCTTCCTCTTTCGCCCATTCGCGAACAGGATCAGGCTCTAGGTCTTTTTCGGGCTCGGGTATAGGATCCGGTGGAGGTGAGTCTTCTGGTTTTGATGTTTCAGCAAGCTTTCCCTTTTTCTTTTTGGTCTTCTTGGATATCGTTCCAAAGTTCGAGGCTTCTTCCACAAGGGCAGGCTCAGGAGGAGGAGGAGTAGATGATTTCTCTTCTACAGGAGATTCTACGACAGGCTCCACAACAGGCTCGACTACGGCTTCCATTTTGGGGGTTTCATTGGGTTTGGGGGTTTCATTGGCTGCTTTACCTTTCATCTTTTTGCTTGTAGCACCCCAAGCACCCCAAGCAGCGTCGTCCGAAATAGGAATATTGATGGGTTTCGGAGGCTCCACTTTGGGTTCTTCTTTTGGGGCCACTTCAAACTTGTCTATCGCTGAAGCTACGGTACCTCTACTTTTCTTCTTCCTCTCTTCTTTCTTGGAAAGGCCAATATTAAACCCAAGATCTTCTTCTGGTATAGGATCGGGTTTTGGTTCGGGCTTTGGCTCGGGCTTTTTTTCGATTTTCCGGGAATCTGTTAAGCTGCGTTTAGTTTCCTCCTGGCCAAGGGCACCGAATGTAAATCCCAGGCCTTGATTTTCAGGCTTACCACGTTCATTACTCCAAGGATTGTTGGCATCCTCGGTGGCCTTGTTCACTGGAGATGGTGTCCTTGCGCTTGTTGCGCTTCCAATTCCCCATTTAGACACTCCAGTAATCCAACTACTGCCCCAACCACCTAGAACACCGGGTAATTTTGGGCTTGCAGTACTTCCACCAGATTCTACATTCAGGTCAGGCTTTGGCTTATCATCCAATTTGATGTCGTCAAATGTTTCGGCAATCTTTATCTCGGGAGCGGGAGGGGGCGGAGGTGGAAGAGCGTCTGGTTCCGGCTCGGCACTTCTTCCCTTTTTCTTCTTCTTCTCTTTCTTAGCCGTTATAGTGTAGCTGTCCGGTATGTTTTCTGTAGCCCGCTCAGCAATCTTCTTTGCTTCCTCTCTCTCCTGCTCTCTCCTCTCTTCTTCTTTCTTTTCCTCTTCTAACCTCTCCTCTTCTTTCCTCTCTTCCTCCTTTCGTTCCTCCTCTTTTCTTTCTTCCTCTCTCCTTTCCTCTTCTCTCCTCTCCTCCTCCTTTTCGTCATCTCCCCCATTGCCAGAACCACTCCCATTAGCTCCAGCATCGCCATTATTACCATCATTATCATTTTTCTTCATGCCATCATCTCCATCGTCTTCCTTGGGTTTGTATACTGGCGCATTGTTCTTTGCATTTGCCCTCTTATTCTTCTTCGCAGCCACCTTAAATCCATCTTGGTAGTTAAAATCGACAGAGGGGTTTAATCTACGATCGTCAAATGGTAATGGTTCACGTATTCTTTCTCGCGAGGTTATAGGGGTAGCGGGGTGTTTGATATAGTCTTGCGACTGTGATTTGGCGAGTGAACTAGTGTCGTGTAGGTCTACTATATTCTCTTCGTCGCCTTGTGCAGACCTATGCCATTGCCACCCTGGTAGTAAGCTTGCGGTTCTCAATCTTTCGTTTATTCGCCTGCGAGAACTGGCTTGTATCGGATGGAGGTTCTCGTCCTGTGAACAATATTAGAAACCTATGTCGAAGATACTAAAACAACCCAAGCACAAAAGTCGCTACTTTGTGATTTGATATCCTGCAAATAAATGGAAATCGAATAGTTCCCAGATGGGCTGCTTGAACTTCAATACATGCAGTGGGCTTGGGCTATTTCTAATATCGTCCGTGGTGCTCGCGACCATTGTACAAATTCACCAGTTGCACTGCGCCAGCCTGATCTAGTCGCAGACATAGAATTGAAACCATATAGAAATTATTTGTATGCATACCAATCCCGAATGCCATAAATCTTTCTGTGTTTGCGAAGCCTCCCAAGCCTTTGCAATGAATCTCAGCCTTATGCGAATATCCCCCTCGTCCCATCTAATCGTCCAAGGAAAGGTCGTATTCAATCCACAATCGCTTCCGTATAACAAAACCTCAACCGCTGCCATTGTGGATATTCAAACTTTGGTTATGGCAGGAAGATGTCAAATTCATCGAAACTGTGTGGTACTCGGCATGAGCGCAATCTGAAGGGGGGCTGGCAAAGTGGGATCCGCTTCGAATGCGTGGCAGAAGGGCAAGAGAGATTTCGGAAAAGAAAGAAAAGCAAATTGAAGAAGGCTGAGAGGATGTAAGTACAATTCAACAGTATTGTGAGGTGAGAGTTAATGTGTAGTTAGTCGATCAGTTCAAAGAGGGTATGATATGGTATGGTATGTATGGTATGAAGAGAACTTCGGACGTGGTCACACGTTGAATATTGCCCTGGTCGTTTGTATCCTGCGTTAATTCTGAGACATTCAATCAGGTATCTGCGCTGAGAGTGATGATCCCCCCCCCCAAGAAACCCTTATCAAGACCCCTATCCGTGCCACTTCAATGTACCTAGATGTAAAACATTCGACGTTTATATATGTTCATCTGAAAAAGTAAATCGTTCTCGAGGGTAAAGAGTTTCTGAAGAATAGATCAAACGATGGATTCAGACCGATAAAAGGAAGTTTAGATTGACCAACGATACTTCATGGAACAAGATTCTCGCATTGGATGACACTAATGGAGCCATGTACAGTTATGGTTATGCATTGTGCAAGTACGCCTTCACACACCTGCAGTTGTCGAATGGGACAAGAAGAACACACGATGACTGGTAAAGTTTCCACTTTTTACTGGTGCTTCGTAGAGGTTGCGGGTACAAGCAGGAGCGGACAGGTAACTAATAGGCCCAAGTTAAATCGGTAGGGCAGGTAGATCTGTGGCAAGCGTGCTGTGTGTGGGTATTGGATAATGATTGGTATGACTTGGGAAAATTCATATGTGAGGTAAAGGTAGTTGGTAGTACAGCATTTGACATTTGTCGTTGGTTCTTACATGATTATATGTATACAAAATATAGTGAAACATACATATAATAATCACTTGCTTTCTGGTGAGTGTGGACGAGGGTCAATTTCATATGTATCGATCGTTGTTGTCAATTGTCTGGTCTGTTGTACCATTCCAGGCTCGCTCTTCATTAGTTCTGGCCCTGGGCACCTTTTCGCCATCCCCCATCTCATCTTTCTCCACTGTTTGAGACTCTTCTACGTATTTACGAATAATACCTACAGTAATACTCGTAAGTAGGTGTATTTTGCTACACCGCTTCTTGATACAAAGCACGAAGAGCCGGGATCAAGAGCATGAATGGAAGTGCGACCATACAAAGGCACATACGCGGTATTCTTCCTTCGCAGTCCTTTGCATGGAGAGAGGCTGAGGGAGGTGGATGAAGAAAGCATAGGTGAAAAGCCACCAAAAGGAAGAGCTGGTTGAAAGGAGAAAGGATATGAAGATTTTCATCAAATTACATTATACAATTGGCTTCATGCATAAGGGGATGTTGAACTTGCTAGGTATTTCTCTTTCCTAGCCATGGGTTTGGTTGGCTGGTGACACTGCACATTTCGAGATTGGGTAGAGGTGGCAACCGGAAATGTGATGTATCGTGGGAAAACAACACTCTGATTCGTTGGAAAGGATATGCAAAGTATAACAAACCGCGGGTACCGACGTGCCTTTAATATCTTCTTTGGTCCGAGTCATCGTTAATCGGTTCGCTCTCGAGACTGTATTTGTGTATAGAGGGGATATCTACCTATCTAGTAATCAGAAGGGCCAAAGTCTTTGATTCATGTTCATGATGCAAACCACCAAACTGCAAACAATCCACCCCATGCATCGAGAGAAAAGGCCCATTCCCGAGTCAAGTTTGAACTCGAGAGATAATGATGGGTAGAGAAGCAAACAGAGACAAACAGAGACAAACGAGGCAATCGAGGCAATCAGTTTAAATCCAAATTCACACCGAGTCCTCAGATCCGGCCACTTTGAGATTCGTCACCTTGTCAGTCGCACCCACAAGAAATTGGGTATGATATTCCAAAGTTCTCGTGAACACATGATGAATCTACTTACTCGGTACGATAGGTAGGCAGTGAGATAAATCACCATCCACACCGTCACTTAAGTAAGTCAGTCTACTTTGGGTGGCTTAGCTCGCAATCATTCGTCCCAATTTCATGGATTGCAATTTCAGCCTGAAGTAACATGAAGTCATCGTGTTCAGATTTTATTTTGATATATACCGCGTTTATCTTCGTATATTTCATGTTTTGGAGATGGAAAGTTCATACTACTTTATACTATTTTCTACTGCTTTTTCTTTTCTACTGCTTTTTCTTCTCTTCTTTTCTTGATAATCACCCAAAGTTCAAAGAGTCCACAAATTTCGGGGCAACAATCTCTCCGATCTGCTAGAAGCACTTTGACACTCTGATTGAAATTTGAAAAACTACAGAGAACTGCCACACAAATCTACAGAATTCATATCGCCGCACAAGAGTGGAGTCCTTCGGACTTCAATTCCAGTGATTGATAATTCCAAGTCCTTCCAGACCAGGCATTGCGGAGGATGTTTTTATCCGCAGAAGATGCTAGATGTCTCTAATGCGTTTCACTTGAGGCCTTGCAAACACGATTTTTACGCAGAGAAAAATTGCTAGATACTCCTCATTGCCGAGGTTCAACGACGTTCTTTACTAAACTTTTACCTGTTCACTGACTACGTAGTCATGTACGTCGTAGACAACCCATGCTAGAGAGGGGCATAGTGATATCAGAGTAAAAATTTCCAGCCAAACAAACTTCCCCCCGCACCGATTCCCATCTTCAACTTTTCCATAATAAGGATCTAATTAAGTTTTCTGTCTCCACTCTATGAGCTCAAGCTCCGTTCCTAGATTATGATTATTATCAATCATGCCTTGAAGACTACTGGTCGTGTGTACTTCAAAAGAAGTCCTAATCCCCTCTCAATCCCTCCCAAAATATCAATTGAACATTTCCATACCAAATATACCCCGTTCACAATATAAAAACGTACTTTCCATCCACATACCAGATCTAAAATGCCATCAAACACCGCAATCGTCGTTCAGAAGCCTGGAGAGGCCAAGGCAGTTGAGGCCTCAATCCCAAAACTTAGAGATGATTACATCTTGGTCAAGACCAAGGCCGTTGCTTTGAACCCAACAGACTGGAAACACGTCGAATGGCTTACCAGCAACGGAGCTAGAGTAAGTCTATGCGATTCTTGTATCTTTACCAAACCATGCTAATGGCTCTCTGTACAGATCGGATGTGACTACGCAGGTGTCGTCGAAGAGGTCGGAAGTGCAGTTACCAAGGACTTCAAGAAGGGCGATCGCGTATGCGGTTTCTGCCACGGAGGAAACGAGGTCAACCACGAGGATGGAGCGTTCGCAAACATCATCACTGCAAAGGGTGATAACCAAATCAAGATCCCAGACAACCTCAGCTTCGAAGAAGCCGCTACCCTCGGTGTCGGTATCACAACGTAAGTTCTCCAGACACTTCCAATTTTCCCAAATCCACCCAGCCATCCATCCATCCATCCATCCATCCATCCATCCATCCATCCATCTAACATGCTCCTCCCCAGCGTTGGCCAAGGTCTCTACCAATCCCTCCAACTTCCCCTCCCCACCTCCCCCGCCTCAACCAAATTCCCCGTCCTCATCTACGGCGGCTCCACCGCCACCGGCGCCCTCGCCATCCAATACGCCAAACTCTCCGGCCTCACCGTCGTCACCACCGCCTCCCCCCGCAACTTCGCCTACCTCGAAAGCCTCGGCGCCGACAAAGTCTTCGACTACAACTCCCCCACCTGCTCCCAAGACATCAAAGACTTCACCAACGACAGCATCAAACACGCCTTCGACTGCATGTCCGAAGGATCCAGCCCCCAGATCACCGTCTCGGCCATGTCCTCCTCCGGCGGCGTCTACAGCACTCTCCTCCCCGTCGCCACCGAAGAAGTCCACAAGTACAACGCCAAGGTCGAGAACAAATCCACCCTCGGCTACACCTGCCTGGGCGAGAGATTCACCTTTGGCGCCACCGAAATGCCCGCCAAGCCCGAGGACTTTGAGTTCGCAAAGACTTTCTGGGAGATGTCCCGCGGTCTCTTGGCCGATGGAAAGATCAAGGTTCACAAGGTGTCCGTGAACAAGTTTGGTGAGGGCTTCGAGGGTATCTTGAGCGGAATGCAAGCTGTGAAGGAGGGTAAGGTTAGTGGTGAGAAGTTGGTCTATACTTTGTAAAATCAGGGATTTGGGATGTACAACATGTAAATAAAAGAATGGAGTAGTAAAGTTGTTGGCTCGCTTATAGAAAGCTGAGCATATTTATATATCATAGAAAGTTGGATATGCTTAATTATCACCTTATCCTTTGGTACGAAATTTTCCTCCATTGACTCGATCCCTTCGCATAGGGTTGTACAGCCATGTAAGAATATTATCATGACTTAACAGCGGCTCCTTTGCCTCGTCTTCGCCTGATCGATGTTGTTTCGTCATGGAAATCCCTACAAACACTTTCATTTACATCCCTGTCAAATACATTGCACAAACTCATGTAACACGTATTAATCATCATGCATAAAGTTAACAGTGTATCATTTCTAGATTCGTTCCCTGGAACCCCTCACAGGATCGCATCAACTATCTGAATCATCTCAACCACCTCAAAATCAAAAGAAAACTCCACCAAGATAACTTACGAAGCGACTGCCGCTCACCGCAGAAGCCATGACATAAAACCCAACAGAAACAGAATTCGTGGTATCTAAAGCGCCAAAAGAAAAAACCTCATCAGTACCTAAAAGTCCCCGTCCCCTCTAGAATTTGACAGCCGTGAAGAAACAAAAGAAAATCAATGCGTATATGCACGGCGTTGACTACCATTACAAAGAGACTATCGACCACTCATATCACTCGAGTAGCCAGTATTATATGCGTCCGTCATTTGAGGTTGAGGGTAACCATGTTGTGGACCGGGGCCACTAGAAAGGTATCCTCCATCGTCACCCTCGTCATAATACTCAGAGCCGCTAGCATCGAAACTGCTTCTACCACTATGATCATCATCGATATTGTTGTCACCTTGAGGAATCTCTGACCAGCTTAAGTTTGCAAGCGCGGGGTATTGTGCGAGAAGTGCAGCAGGTAAGCCGTAATTGCCACTCGAATCAACGGCAAAGCCATTAGCATCTTGACCCATAGGCTGTTGTTGCATATGCATGTTTTGCATCCGTTGCTCTTGCCACAATCTTTGTCTCTCCAGAGCCTCTTCATCCAACAAAGGTTTTATACAGATTCTGCCAGCCTCAGATCTGAAATGTCGACCCAACGCATCAGCTCTAGCAAAGCGGCGACCACATCCCCATTGGCCGTGTTGTTTCAGCTCGCCTTTACAAACGAATTTTTTCTCTCCAGAATGAAGACCCTCGTGACGCTTCCGGTCATGTTGACGCGCAAAAGCTTTGCCACAAACTGTGCAAACGAAAGGTCGCTCATCAGTATGTGTACGCAAATGGGACCGGAGATTGTAGGCTCTTGTAAAACGCTTTGGACAAAGGTTACATTGGAATGTTGCCGGGTGTTTTTGCACTCGCTTTGCACTGCCATTGTCGGATGATACTGCTTGGTAATCAGGATCTGCAAGACCAAGAATATAATCTCGATTAGGTAATGACGATGTAGACTGTCGACGTCGACCAGGCGAAGTTGCCCCGGATCGATCATTTGGCGACAATGAGCGCGATGCCGATGAGTCATGACCTAATGGAGACAGAGAGTTTCTCATCAAAGGAGAGGCGTTTGAAGGACTATGAGGACGCGGGCTATTATATGGGTCCGAGACAGCTCTCCTACGACGACCTGAAAGAATTAGCTATAATCACGTGTAGGTAATATCCATATGCAACTTACCTCGGTCAGGTGGAGTTAATGCGTCTTGGTCAAGAGCTGATTTGGGAGGATCGAAACTGTTCTGTCTTGATGCTGGGGCAAACTCGACGTTAATCTCAGGGGGCACCATCTGTTGCGCCTGGCCCATGTCTAGAGAACTGTTATGTTGCATTGGTGGAAACGATTCTTGGCCTTGATTGTAAATGTTTTGAGAGGGAAACCCGTTGTTCGCGTTCAGCATGAATGCATTTTGTTGATCCATGTTTGGTATTTGTTGAGGTCCGAGTCTGGGTGAGATTGCAGGACTATGAGCAGGGCTAATTCCGGCGTGAGGACTGGGATCAGTCAAAGAGAAGGAGCCGATTGCAAGAACGTCCTGATAAATTGAGTCTTGAGGGTGTTGCATCGGTGAGTGCTGTTGATCTATTCCTTCAAAGCTATCGTGGTGACCTAGATTAGGGGAGTGGGCAGCGGAAGAGATATCAGAGTATTCGGATGGAGTTCTGCGATGGCCTGTGAATTGCGGGGGCATCATACTCCAGTCACCAGGATTATGTACTAAAGGGAAAGCAGCACTCTCTGGGCCAAGCGATGCGTTTCGTGAATGACCGGGTGATGGTTGAAAGGGACCTTGATTAAAAGAAGGAGATTGGTGGGCGGAAGCTGGTGATCGGTGATCAGGTTGCAACAAGTTTGGTGGTGTTGGTGTATGCGCGGGGGGTGACATGTTCAACTCTGCAGGATTGATGGATGGATTTCCGGATTGAGGCGCAAGCTCATTCATGAAATAAGACTGGTCAAATTGCTCGTTTTGTCCACTATTGGGATACAATGAGAAGTCTCCGTCAAAATTGGCACTTAAAAGCTCTTGGGTAAAACTTCGCTGCGGGGGAGCAAATGATGATTGATCTTCTTGTTTGAATTGAGAATAGTCCTGTGTTTGGCTTGGTGCAAAATTGGCATCACCGAGTCCACTTTGAGTAAATTGCTGAGTTGGATTCAAAAATTCGTTGTTATCAACATAAGTAGGGAGTGTTGTGTTTTGGGTATTAAAGTTATTCTGAAACTGTTGGTGGTTGTTGATGCTCGAAGGATCCAAAGCAATGCCTAATCCATTCATACCATCTTGGAAGGCATGTGGAGAAGGAGAATGATTTCTTATATGTTGGTGACCTCCAGATGGAGATCTTCCACGTTGTGAATCCATGTTGAAAGTTTGTTTGCTCCTTCTAAAAATATCAAAATACTGCGAGGTTGTCGAGTATAGCAGTGAGCCTTACAGGCACGGTGGCAGTGCAAGTCAATGGGGCTTAGCAGCGGATATCCAGCCAGATCGCAAGCAGTTATTGGTTGAATTGATTGAACTTCCAAAATAACTATGAAACTTTGTTGAATTCCTGTGTAGGTAAGGGAGCTATGCGAACATGCAGCTCTTTGTTCGAGCTTATGGTCGTTGTTTTTAGAGCTTTGGAGGGGAAATTCCACCGGAATCAAAGGCGAAATGAGGTAATCTCGATAATGGGATTGCGATTGCGCTTTCCACCTGTGCCGCAGACTGCTATTGAGACGATTGGTATAGAAATGCTTTCGAAGATGCGAGCCCCCTGATGTAAAGTTTCCTTTCGAATCGAGTATTGTAATTCAAGAATAAGCGCCAACAGATTGTTGGATGTTATTTCCAAACTTGGTCGCGGTAGTAGATCTTTTCACGCCTAAAGTCGAGTCGTTCGCGATGGAGTGGGGGGTTATTGAATCTGCGTTTGTGAACCGCTCCTTCGTCTGGGACCACATGTATGTGTTAGCAAACGTATTCCATCATATTTAAGGCCAGAAATCTGCGATAATAATGGTCCGTTCAAGTATTGGAGAATATGGTTGAGCGCATGGCTGGAAACCAGATGGGTTTGCCTGCTGGCTCGAGTCTATTTCGACTTCACGGCCCAAAGATAGATCCAAAACACCATACCAACCAACAACAAACAAGAGATAACACCGACTTACATGAGAATGGTAAGATATCAAAGATTTTGTGCCTCTCTAAACTTTGGTGAGATAACGTTATTCACCCTGAGCGTGTCTGTATGAGGGTCGCAAGTTGTTGATTTTGTTTAATACATTTGATGACATTGAAATGCTTATCGTTTCGGGGGACAGTCCAGTTCTACAATCGCTTAGAGCCTTACCGCAAACCTCCGTGTATGTACGAGTGTGTGTGTCGGCCGTTCTACTGGAAGGACAGAAGCAACTAATGAAATGATTTTGGTTTGATATTGCTTCACATATATACTCCTTTACTTGTTGAACACACCATTTTCTATTATTGTCAATCTTACCACGGTGTGAAATTGTGAATGAGTAAGATTTGGAGGAAAAGAAAGCCATGTAACTTTACATTCACAGGATCAGCCAGTCTCTGGATTCATTCACAGAGCTTGGTATAGTAATTTAGTGCGAAGTAGGCAAGATAAGTTTATTATTTCAAATGTTATACATTCAGATGATTATATTCAAAATTAAGGTCTGACATCTTACCAAGGTCTCCCCTATGAGCTTCTTTCTTTGAGAAAGAGTGAAACCTTGAAGTAAAAATCAATCATTCTCATTTATCCCAAACCCAACCAACGGCTCCCCCCTCCCGCTCGTTGATAATGCTTGTGATTTGCCTTGTAGTTACAGAGGACGCAAATCATCGTGGCCAAAGCTTTAGTCCTCGTACAGAAACACGCTTTTTGTCAAACATGTCACATGTGAAGAGGAGAAGCTGGAGAAGTTAATCAGTACCAGAAATCATTTGCTTCATGATTTGGGGGGGGGGAATCGTATTGATAGTTTGTTGATTTGTTCAGTTGTTGGTTGCCCAGTGGTGTAGGAATTCTCCCTTCAAGAGTCAGTGCATGAGTGCATGAGTGCATGAAGCGATAGCGATTCATTGTCCACATACAATTTTCGCTTGGACTGCTTCAACAGGTAGGTAGGTACGAGATAGGAGGTACCTTTTCTTTCGTGAATGAATGTAAGGTACAAGGAACAACTACTACCTACCCATCGAATCTAATTGGTACGCCCGCAGCCATAGCATCCATCGCATCCAACTGTTGGGCCGTAATTATATCGTTGGTGAACTTCTTCCTCCGTCCTCGCTCGTATTCCAATTACCATTCCATTACCATTACCTCAACATCCCTTTTCGCCAAGAGATCAATAGCTACCTACATAAATACCTTCTATCGTTCTCATATGGAAATGTGGATACACCTTAACCCGTCTTTCGTGTCATTCAATGTCAAAATGAAATCTACTGGCCCTCTCGAAGATAATCAATATTGATTAGTCTGGCTAAGGTATGGTAT